TGCTATCGATGAGAACATATACTTCATTAGGGATCGCTTGAAGGAGGTACGTCTTGGCCATGAGATCATCTCGAAGCCTGAGCCTGTCAGCTTCGGTATATTCAGATGCCACTTTCCGTCTTATTTCCGGAAGAATAGGTGGATTGTTTTCTGGATCTCCACCAACTGAAATCATCAGTTCTGCTGGTCCTTCAAGCAACGATTCAAGCATCGCAGCGGAGTTTTCTTTGTGCTCAAGGAAATTAAGGAATCGATTCCTCCACATTTGGTATTCTCCTTTCCTGAGACTGGGAGGAGTACTGTTGTTCCCTTGGGCATTGTATTCTGAGGCCATTGCTGTATAAACTGACTGTTCGAGTGATTGATCAAAAGATTTTCAGAGGCAGAATGTCGAAAATCAGATGTCGAGATCTGAATATCGAGATCTGGGATTTCGATAAAGGAGGCCCGGTTTCGAGATTTGATGTCGAGATTAGGATGTCGAGATTAAAGATCTCGAGATTTCAAATGTCAAGAAGAGGATCTCGAGATTTGAGATGTCGAGAAGTTAAGCTCGAAATCGTATTTCGAGAAGTCAAATGTCGAGACCAGATGTCGAGACCTTAAAATCGAAATCTTGATCTCAAGATCCTAGATGTCGAAATCCTCAATGTCGAAATCCTGCAAACTGTAAAAATCAGATAAACAAAATTTGAAGGTAGTTTCTTGTAGAGTATGATGTCGAGATCCTCAGGTAAAGTTTTTAGCTCGAAATACCTGGCAGAACCTGCTTAAAACCTAGATGTCGACAAAGCTATTCGAAATATCTCAAGTACAGAAATTGCAGAAATCGAAATCTGAAGTATACCCCTTGATCACTTCGAAACGACGATTCTAAGGGTGTAACGTTTACAACTTTTTAACAAGAAACAAGATTACAGAGTAAAAAATCGACAGAAAGAACAACGTAAAGAAAAACAGAGTCTTCTGCAGGCGTTCTTCTGATCGGCTCTCGATCGGCTCTGATACCAATTGATAGTCCCTGTTTTTGTAACAGCAATGAATAGCAGTATAACAAAGAAGATTAAACGTAAGGATGAACACAGATGAATCGGTGTAAAACCTTCTTTGATATACCGTGAACTCGTACACAGAAAGATTTGCGTAAGGCTATAATGAATAAGTACGACGTTAACCTAATCCTGAACCCTCGGCTCCCTTTTTATAGGCGAGGTTCAGGTAGGCGTGAAAGGCTTTTAGCCTATTAGTATGGGCCTAACACTTGGCCCATATTCTATCTAATACATGCACTTATTTAATACAAGGAATAATAATAAAGCTAATCTATTACAAGATAGATGACAAACTTGATTCACAATTAAAATATCTTCAACATTCCTGAATAGGGTTAGCGCTTCGAGGGTATTCAACACAATTTAAAACCATAGATTTCTCAAGGTCGGCACAATGCTCAATATCAACTTGAAACAATAACCATGAAATAGAAATATCATTATTACTAAAGAGGTTCCCATCTGACCTTGAAATGGAGAGATCCCATGTGGAGTTAGGATCCAAGTAACTTGTAGGATCTGGGGCTTGTTCAATCTCAAGAGGTGGTTTGGTGACATAAATTTATGCAAACGAGAAGTAACCCAATGAAGCCCTCTCAAAAAACAAAGAAATCTTGATCCATTACCTCCTTCAGAGATAAATAAAAGATTGTAAAACGATTTGTTCATTTGTAATCTAGAATTGGACCATTTGTCGGATAATAGCTTAGGAATTGAGTCTTTTATGCAAAAAAATCCTTTCCCAATCGAAATCAATTATAGAAGATATCCCATGCTTCGTCTCAGAAATTCAAACACAGTTGCTATCAATTATTTTGAATTGAAAGAATTTACTTTCAATTAAAATATTAAACCCATGTGAAATTTGTTTATACCGAAGACCTGTCTTGTGTCTTGTGGAGGGATGTTCTTCTCCAAGTCCGTTGATGTGTGTTGAATATTTGGTTTTGTTGATGACTAACCATAACAGGAACGAATGATAGAACTATCTTATGGTTCAAGTGAACATTGGAATTACTGAGGACTAACCGTGCAGGAACGAAGGATGCAATTATCCTTGATATATCTATGCATTGACATTATTGATGATTAACCATGCAGGTGGACAAATGAATAGAACTACTATGAGTTCCATTAAGAACGAAAGACAGAACTATACTCAGTTCTATACAAGTCATTCCTTATACGTATATGATTGCATGATTAGATCCTTATATATGTACTTTGACGTCTATGATATATTGCATATACGTGGCTTAATATCTTTCCATACATGATTAGGCACCCACATAAGTTAGTTGATCTATGTAACCTGTCATCTATGGAAAGTATCCTTGCAATAAGTGGACCGGAGCAAACTTATATTCTTTTGTCATACGGCTTAAATAATCATCCTTGATAAATTTGTTAAAGGAATATTTTGTGGAAAGAATCTTAGAATATAGAATGGTCTGTTGCATGCTTAACTGTATTATGGAATAAATTAATTCCTTGATCAATTACGATGATTATTCTGGAGCAAATATCCTTAATGGTCCACGCACATATTGAGTTCAAAGATATGATTCTCAAGAAAGGAAAGCTTTTTCGAATAATATCATGGCAAGTCAATTTGACCATTCAAGGAAAGAAATGTACCAACGGACTTCTCAAAGCAGCCTATATATGCCAAAGATTGAGTGAAGAAAAGTGTGTTCTTGACCGAGCTATTATTGAGAGACATACATGAAAAGATTTACTAAGTCCAATGCACATGAACTTGCTCACGGAGTTCTAGATAGAGTTTCTTGTTCATTCTTCATATTGTAATTGGGTTTCTGAGGATTGGCTAAGTGCAGCCACCTCGGGTTGGTGGGTGTGAGTGAGAGCTTTGTTGTAAAGAGAGAGGCTCTCTACCTGCAAGGTAGAGATGCATAACTCTTTCTAGAGAGGATAGAGAGTTGGGGTGGCTCAAGGGTAGACTAGGAGAGTTTATCTTGTAACCACAAAGGCTTTTTAGTGAAGTTGTTTAAAATTCCTCCGAGGGAGGTCGAGGTTTTTTAATCCCTTTGAACCTAGGGATTTTTCCTGTTAAATCCTTGTGCACTTTACTTTTTCGTATTTCCCTTCACTCCACACTAGAACTTGGCGAAAAACTGTCACGGTTCCACACACACACAATTCACCCCCTCTTGTGTTGCTAACCGTTTCATCAATATGTATCGAGCTAGAAGGGACCACCTGGTCTGTTGAGAGGATGTGTTCAGCGAGGATTTCTGTAATTAGCTGATCGATGATTCAGAGTTGCTTCTGCCTTGCTGACTCGTCATTTTCATAGGGGTCGATGCGTAGTGCCGCCAAAGTGTGAGCGCCTTCGTTGCGGATTCAGATCCCCTGGACTGTGGTCATGTCACCATGTGTTAAGCAGACCCCGCCGGTTGAAACGCCGGTGTAAAGGGTCATCCAGTGAAGCCTCACCAGAGTAGAATCTCCTTCATCGCTGGGTACTCGAGCCCCCTATGTTCACCATCGCAGGTTGTGAGTCGCTAGGGCCCCAGATGTGCAGTGCGCTCCTATCGACCGGAAAATACCCGAAGTGCAGTGTGAACACGCCTTGCTTGGCACTTGAGTTGTTGGCAACTGACTGGACGGCAGTCAGTGAAGCGTCGGTCATGGCTTGGAGCTGCTGCATCATCTCTACTGCCGGTTGCGACGCCGAAACGGTCATTGCTTGCCTCTTGTACGTTATTTCACTTCCGTAGAGCTCGGCTCTAATATGTTACTGCATTGTCATAGAGCTCGACTCTAGTACGTTACTACACCGTGCTAGAGCTCAACTCTAATCACCCTATCAATTTCCTAAGCAAGTTTCATGCCTAGCATTATCTAAACAAAAGAATCACTTTGGGTCATTTTTTAGGACTGCCAAAGCTTACTCTTAGCTTCATGCTTTATCAATTTAGTCCTTTTGAAATCCATTCAAACACAAGTCATACAACCCTAACATTTGGATCAATTTTATCGATAACTATAACCAATTATGACCATTATAGTCAATTTTATTGAAGTCAACCCAATCATGATAGTCAATTATACTAATCAAGTGAGAGAGAGAATTTCCTTAATGACCATTATGAGAAGCAATAGCATTGAAATCACTTCCAATCATCCAAGGATATTTATTTGCCATAGAAAAAGTAATAAGATCCCCCACAAATTTCTTTGAATATAATTATGGTTGTCATAGACAACAGTAAAGTAGCCAATAAACATATCAGACAAAATATGAAATCGCACACATTGACTATTCCAATCAATATTGTCAATTTGTATATAGGAATCATCCCAAAATACCCAAATTATATTAATAGGTGAACGTCGGATTTTGGAAAAGCCAAGTTGCATCATATAGTCATTAGCTTTAGATATAGCTACCATAGCTTCAATAGCTATTAAAATGTGAAGAATGTATTACTAAATCTAGGGGGAAACATGGTAAAAGAGCCTTCCAGACCTCTTAAATTCCCGATGAAGCAATTCATTCAATCATTGGTTTAGCAGCTTGTGATAGCTTGTTGGCTAGAGTTTGGGAAGCAGGATTTGAGGTTTTAGCTGCATCTTGTTTTTTTATTGTATGCCTAGTAATTCTGGCTAGAACTTTTGGGATAATATTACTTTTAAACCCTTTTCTTTTAACCGTAAAAAACTATGAGTGGCACGGTCCGGGACAGAACGGGAATTGGATTGTCCTGGTATCGAATTCGGTTTATAATAACGGTTCGGAACGGGACGGGACAAGGCGTTGTCCTTATGTTGTCCCATATAAATCGGTACCGGGACAAAACGGGACGGTTCGGGACATCCCAAAAAAATTATAGTGAATAAATTGTAATCCCAAAAATGAAGCAAAACTATCTGGAAAAAATAATCGCAAATAAACTATGACAAAAAACTGCAACTAATCTAGAAAATTTTAATAAAAAAGCAACCTGCCAAATTAGCTGCAAGAAACAAAAGTTGCATGACTAACACAAAAACTATCAAGAAATTTGTGAAAAAAAAAAAGATAAAAGAATACTATAAGAGGTGAAGCCTTTGGGAGTAAAATTCAATTTTGTTAAACAACTGGTATCTTAATAATCAATGGTATTTGAGTAGTGAAAATAGGATATTTATTATTATTTGGATTACATAATGAGTTGTTGTAGACCTCACTAACCTACTACAAAGTACAACTTTGGATTCGGGACAACGGGACGGAACGGGATATATTTTACTTGTCATGGTCCCGTTTTCTTTTGAAACGGTTCGGGTCCGGAACGGGACAAAAATAATGTGTCCCAAATATAACGGGACAATTTCGAAACGGAACCGGAACATTCTGGAACGGACCAACGGGACCGGGTCTTTTGCCCACCCCTATAAAAAACCATCATTCTCCGCTGATTGAATCCCATTATTAGCTGCTAACATCTCTTTTTCTTTCTGTTTTACCATATGGTCAACCTTTGCTTTTAACTCCGGAAGAGATTCCTTCCAAGTGTGGATATCTCCAAAGTGTTTAGGATTCCCTCTATCAGAGGAGTAATCCTTAGCTGCCAATTCAGAACCAAACTCCCAAAATTCTTGAAGAATCCGCAGGAGAGAATCATACATTGCATATCGCAAATTTAAAGTATTGTGAGTGATATTCTGAATCAAGATAATTTGTTCATTAGTTTCATCAATGGCATTTGATTGTACTACAGGGATGAAACTTTTCATCTTCCAGCCTCCTCGCCAAGCCCTTCTCTCCTACCGACGCTCAACAACACCAGAATTCTCCGTCTACCACACCCCTTGTCTCCGCGCTGATCTCCACGGTGTGTACTCATTCCCGTAACAACACAGACCATGTTACTATCGAAATCGATCCTCTCCCTTTCATCCAATCCTACAAATCAAATAGACCCCTCCCCACCCCCACGGAAATTGGGCTGCTGAACATATAAAGACTCGTCTTAAAGGCGAAGCTCTCATCTGCTTCATCCAAGATTATGTAGAAATCCATCTTAGATATTGCTCCATCACAAAGCTCTTCTTTCAAAATGGTTACGTATTAAACAACAAAGATGCTACATATTTTGCTTAAAAAAGGCTTCATGGAATGATATGCACCAAAGAATGGTGTTGGACGTGTATATATATATTATATAGTGCTGGAGGAGATTGTACAGTCAAATAAATGAAGTGTTTATTCTGTAAAAAAAAAAATTGATTGTACATTTGTACTGCAATGTTCATCACAATTCACAAACATGCTCCCATTCAAGGGCTTCAACAGAATACCAAAAAAAAACCTTTGCCATCAAATTCATTGTGTAAAGTAGCTTGATTTGAAGTGAGTTTGGATGTAGAGGAGGAGGGGGACATTTGAGAAGAAAATGAGTGGACATTAAAAATGCATCTAGAAGACTAAAATGAGATGATGGATTATATGGATGTAGGGGTGGACTCGGGTCCGGGCCGGCGGTTCAGAAATGGTGGACCCGGGACCGGCCCGGGTAACCACCGGGTTCGGTCCGGGTCCGGGCCGGGCCCATTATAATTTTTTTTTGTTTTCCTCTTCCTAATTAACCCCCCTCCCACCCCCAACCCCCCAAACCACCCCAAATGGCCCAAAATACCCAGCCCAACCCGAAAATTTAAAAAAAAATGAAAAAAAAATAGGTTTTGGCCCGAACCGGGCCCGGGCCCGGCCGGGTCGGGCCTTGTTTTGGGTGACCCGAGCCCGGACCGGAAAACCCACGGGCCAGGCCTACCCGGACCGGTCACTGACCGGGCCACCGGGTCGGGCCGGGCCGGAACCGTACCGGTCCCGGGCCGGTTCCGGGTCGGGCCACCCGGCCCGAGTCCACCCCTATATGGATGAAGGAAAGAAATCTTAAATCAGGGCAACACAATTTTGACGTAGTATTTTGTGCATTTATTATAGCTCGTACACACGCCTGAAGTTGAAGATTAAAACTGAGTAATGCAACTTTGTTAACATGTGCGAAATTTGTTGAGCGCCAAACAATGGCAGATCGAGCATGAGGGCTAATGGGGGTTGCTGCCCCCAATTTTTTTCCTGTATCTTGAAATTGTAATATATATGTATTTGTATGTATTTTTTTAGTTAGAATTGTATGGTTAATGGTATATCAAATCTTGTTACTGAGTTTATTCTTCTTAAAAGTAAATATACTTTTTAGAGATAATTAAAAAGTATAAAGGTCAAGTATAAAACTGTACCTAAAAAGTTCATGCAGCTTATTTTTAAGTTCACTCAAAAAATATTGCTGAAATAACACGAAATTATTCAGAATAAAATCACGGTCTTGAGTAAAATGTTAGGTATTAATGTATTATTACATTGAACACCTTAATAAATGAAAAGAGGGGATCGTTTGTACACGTACAACTGAAAGTGCAAAGCTCGGTTAAAATGGAACAGTACAGAGAGCCAGAAAGGTTCTTTCAGAAGCAAACATGGGGAGGGATGAGCTTTCCTGGATTCATGATATTGTTGGGATCCAGAGCATCTTTAATTCTCTTCATCGTTTGCAAATTCTCTATTCCAACTTCTTTCTCCAGGTACTGAAAATAAGAATCAACCCCAATCAGATCAAAACTAGTAGTATCTTGGGGGAGTGCTAGTCCATATGCATGAACTACTAGGGACTAGGACGGACTTAGTGGCAGGAAAAACATAGACAATCAAAAACTATAAAGAAATCTTAATGAATAGTGTTAAAACCTGTGATTCCAACCTAAAAGAATAACCTGATACGAGCATTAAGTTCTATAAATAGTTAGTTTGTTGTTATTTAGCTGATGTGAAACACGCTTAAAATGTATGAATGTAAATTGTTATGTCACCTTCATCTTCCCAGTGCCAACACCATGTTCTCCTGTGCAAGTACCTGGTAAGTGAAGAGCATGAAACAAAACAGTATCATCTAAAAGGTTCAAAAGTTACGGAAGTAGTCATATAGTATTTGTGTATGTATACCTTCCATGGATAGAGCAATATGAACCATGAACTCGTTTAACCTTTCAGCCTCTCTTAGGTGATCCTCTCTAGCGGCATCAAATAGTATAACTGTGTGAAAGTTACCATCACCAGCATGAGCTAAAACCGTGCTGTTATGAATAAACAACAATCAGACCAAGTAGCATCTCCTCGTGATGCACTATTAAAATCAAAACTTGGGTTTCATCTTAAAAGATCGTCTAACAGTAGTTCAATGCCTCATACGTGAGTTTGTATCTTTATATTTGATTGGTGCAAGATGGTGATAGAGTGGGCCCAGACCCTATGGCCCACATACTTAGAGGATCAAACACAAATACAGTTGGCACCCGTGTGGCCCTTCGTCAGTCAGATGGCCCTCCATCGGCCAAAACCAAACAAATCTCATAATACGGCCCAGAAGCCCAGGAACGGAAATGGGTCCTCCGTCAGCCAGGCCCTCTGTCGGCCAAAATGACTCCGGCAGAATAGATCTCATACTTAGTCAAAGAAATCATTTACTCAGCCCAATAGAGGACTTATTATGTACTAGGTCTCCCAAGTCCAAGACTTAGGAACCCAAACCCACATTTTTCCCTATAAATACTCCCCTTGGGGTGTAGTTGTAGGGGGTTGAGAAATATTAATTGCTCACTTTAAGATTAATTGCTCACTTCTCTCTAAGATTAATATTCTATCATTTGGTGCTTTCATTGAGAACTAGAATAATCAAGTTAGTATCTTTCGTCGCTACCAGACACTACTAACTGAAATGGAAAAGACAAGGTCAAACCGCAACCTCATCGGCACAACTCTCTTTGACCCTCAGAAGAACCAAGAGAGGTCGGGCGACGCTACGGCCGAAAAGATAGTGAAGGAAGAGGCCTTCCATGAGACCATCAACCCCAATGCGGACCTTCGCAACAAGCTCAACGTCAATGCTCAAGACGCCCGCATCGGCCTTGAGAAGAAACGCTCGGAGAAGGGTGACCATGTTTCGGGACAACAGACTACTCCCCCTGTTGACCCCCAACTCCAAGCCGCATCATCGGCCATCATTGTCAGCTTGGCCCAGAACCCTACCGTCTTAAGTGCCCTCATGCCACGGATGGGGTAAAACACGACACTGTCACCTCCTCCACCTCCTCCAATTGTCACCTTCATCGGTGCCCAAGAAGGAGTCGTCGCCCAGGACACGGCATCCCACACCGCCTCCCCTCCACGAGTTGTGCCAACCCCTGTGTGGTAAGACATTGGCTTTCAATAGGCTAGCGACACGCAACATCGGCCCATGTCGAACAAAATGGCAGGAAGGTTGGACAACCGTCGGCCCGGCTCACCCAGAGAAAGTTTGGGGTCAGTGTCCCAGACAGCGGGCCGACCCTGCATTGACAAAGGAAAGGGCAAGCTGCACGAGGAGGATGCGTGCCATCAGATAACTAGGCTGATGCGGCCTGCGTCCAGACTCGGCAAGGAGCTGTTATGGCCGCAAGAGATCCCCAGGATGAAGTTATTGCCCAGCTGGAGAGGCGAATGGTCTAGATGGAAGCAAGGTAGCTGGCCGGTACGACTACGGCCAACGCTTCCCAAGATCCCAACTACAACGCCCTCCTTCACAAGGTCAACACCTTGGAGAGGGAGCTGTTCGAAGGACGCGGCGACCCTATCATCCAGGTCAAGACAAAAACTCCCTTCACAACAAAGCTGCTCTCTGCCCCAATCCTCGAGAAATAACTGAGGGAACGCCATCAAGCCCTAGGATGGCCGAACGGACCCCCAAGAGCACTTCAGCCGTTACCAAAACAGCATGCTGATGGTAAATGCATTAGATGAACACCTCTGCCGTTGGTTCCTCTCCACCCTTGAGGGACAAGCATACGAGTGATTCAATGCGCTACCTGAAGACAGCATGGACTCATGGCAGTACCTTGCACAATGCTTCCTCACCCACTTTATCGGGAGGAAGCGCACGAAAAAGCACTTCTCCCACCTCCTCACTGTCAAACAACAACATGACGAACCGCTCCGCAGCTTCCTGGAGCGATGGACGAAGGAGACCGATGAGGTTGAGGGTGCCGATGACCGCACTCTCCTCGTCCTCCTTCAAGGCGTCCTCCGTAACAGCCCCTATGCGAGAAGCCTCATCACTGAACCTCCAAGGTCATACACAAAGGCACTCCGGCGGGAGGCTTGTACGCTGACGCCGATAAGTTACACTTCAACAAGGTGAACTCTTCCAGTTTGTTAAAGGTGCCCCACGGAAAAATGCCTGGGTGAACACCGGCAATCAGGGAGGAGAAAACCTCGTCGAAAGGGGCATCAGCGATTAGGAGGAATATGAGAAACTCCAACCGAAGAAGCATCATATTCACCTCATCGCTGGGGCAACACAGAGAGGGACTCCGCCACTCAGAGGAATTAATGAGCTCAGTCCCTATACATCGGCGAAGTATCATACGTCCCCCCACAGCCGAAATGAGCTCTGCCCCCAGGCCCTCCCTCTCATAGGGACGCCTTCGTCATCTGCTGTGAGATCGGCGACGCCATCATCCACCGCATCTACACTGACACGGGCAGCTCCGTCAACATCAGGTACATAGATACATTCAGACATCTAAAGCTGAACAAGGCATTGCTCAAACCGATCCAGAAGCCGTTGTCCGGCTTCACCGGGGACTCTATCGACTCCTAAGGCATGATAGTCCTCCCCGTTGAGGTCGGCGATGACTCCCATCACTCAAAAATCAACATGGAGTTTGTGGTCATCAACCTCGAATGCGCCCGCAACCTGATCTGGGGTCGGCCGGCATTGGAGGACGTTGAGGCCATCATCTCCATAAAGCACCTATGCTTAAAGTTTCCAACCAAGGGAAGCATCGGTTACGCCAGAGGAAATCAGAAGATAGCCAGAGCATGCTACCTAAAGCCGACAAAGAAGGCTGCAACCTCTGAACAGCGGATCGACGCCATCACAATGGCCGTCACCATGGATGAGGAGAGACCACGCGCTGAGCCGATAGAAGATGTCGAGGAAGTTCCCTTAGACATCTCCCGGCCAGGGCGAGTCCTGAAGGTCAAGAGACAACTCCCCCAAGACCAATGAAATGACATCATTCTTGTCCTACGGCCCTACGCCATCTTCGTATGGGGGGGCGGAGGACATGCCCGGCATCAGCCGAAAAGTGATCACTCATCGACTATCAATCGACCCTGCCTCCATCCTTTGTCAAACAAAAACGATACTATCTATGAGCCGAAAGGCGTGACTTTGTGAAGATGGAAGTCACCATGCTCCTCTCCATCAACCACATCAAAGAAGTGAAGTACCCCACGTGGTTGGCGAACGTCGTCCTCGCCCAGAAGCTGTCAACGTTCAGGATGTGCGTCGATTACACCGACCTGAACAAGGCGTGCCCAATGGATCCATTCTCTCTCCCAACATTGATCAATTGGTGGATGAGACGGTGGGTGCGAGTTGATGTCATTCCTCGATGCACTCCGGGGGTATCATCAAATATTCATGCACGAAGATGACGCAGAGAAAACAGCTTTCATGACCCTGGAGGGAATCTTTTGCTACCTTGTCATGGCCTTTGGACTCAAAAAACTCCGACGCAACTTACACCAGGATGTAGCCAAAATATTCAGAGTTATCCTTGACCGAACGATGGAAGCATACGTCGATGACATGATCGTCAAGAGCAGACGGTCATCCACCCATGGCGACGAACTCCGGAAGATTTTTAAAACAATGAAGAAGTTTAACCTCCGGCTCAACCCAAAGAAGTGCACCTTCGGGGTCCAAGGAGGCAAGTTCTTGGGATATATGGTCAGCCGAAGGGGCATCGAAGCAAACCCGGGGAAGATACAAATCATCATCGACATGGAGCCACCACGCAACATCAAGGTGGTGCAACGGCTGACAAGATGCCTAGCGGCCCTGAACCGTTTCCTTTCAAGATCAGCTGAGAAATCTCTCCTTTTTTCTAAACGATGCGCAAAACTACCGATTTCAAATGGACGATGGAGTGCCAACAAGCCTTTGAAGGCTTAAGCAATACCTTTGACGAGCACTTTGTTGTAGGGCGTCAAATTTATGCTGAAATTACGTTGTGTAATTGTATTGTCTTACATTTAATAATTTTTTTAAGTTTTTAGTAAAATTTTGGTTGTTTAGTTATACATTTAATAATTTTTTAAACGGTGCTTACCATGGCTGATTCGGAAAGTTATGATCCATCAAAAGATCCTAGCAGAAAACCCAAATCGGATGATCCCGGATGGGAATTTGGTTTTTGGCCGGACAAGAATAACCGGGACTTGGTCGAATGAAACCTTTGTGGAAGACAGGTGCACTCCGGAGTTAATCGGCTGAAGCAACACTTAGTTGGCGGTTACGGGGATGTTGTAAAATGCGCAAAAACAACTCCCGAAATAAGAACTAAGATAGCCAATTATATGAAGAGCAAAATGAAGAACAAAATGCCAGTGAGTGTTGAATTGGATGATGAAGATGATGAATTGGACAAGGATCCTATCACACAAGTATCATCTCGTGCTTCTTCTACTCATCCAGTTCCTAGTTCTGGAACAGCCATCAAAAGAAAGCGTGTAGTGCAGTCTACTCTAAAATCTCAGCATTCACTACCAAAACCAGGTAAACCAACTAATTCTGTTGCTTCAATGATTAGAAAGTCACCTGAAGAAGTGATTGAAGAAAGGCATTCTCAGGGTAAGAGTCAACAGACTCTTGAGGGTTGTACTAGATCCAGAGAAGAGGTAAAGAAAGTTCATGGGCACATTGCAGATTTTTTCTATGAGAATGGCATACCGTTCAATGTTGCAAACTCGAGAAGCTACGAAATTATGATTGAGTCAATCGGGCAGTTTGGCCCCGGATTGAAACCTCCGAGTTACCATGAATTAAGGGTTCCTCTTCTCGAGGATGCTGTGAAGGATACAGAAAAGTTGAAGGAGAAGCATGAAATTGCTTGGAAGAAATATGGATGTACACTCATGTCGGATGGATGGTCCGATAAAAGGAGTCGACACTTGGTCAATTTTCTCGTTAATAGTCCAGAACGGACTTTCTTCTTAGAGTCAGTTGATGCATCGCACGAGTCACAAGATGCAATTATGTTGGCATCATTGCTTGAGAAACAGATTCAAAAGATTGGCAAAGAGAATGTGATTCAAGTAGTGACAGATAATGGGGCTAACTACAAAGCAGCAGGGAAGCTACTGGAGCAGCGTATACCCACACTTTCCTGGACTCTTTGTGCGGCTCACTGCCTAGACTTGATGATGGAGGATATTGGGAAACTTGTTGAGTTTAAGCCCTGGATTGATAGTGCAAGACGTTGCACCACTTTTATTTATAGGCATACAAGAATTCTAAGTGCAATGCGGGAGAGAACTGGTGGAAGAGATCTAGTGAGGGCTGGTGGAAGAGATCTAGTGAGGGCTTGTGTTACACTGTTTGCCACAGCATTTCTCACTTTGCAAAGTTTGTGCAAGTATAGAGAACCTTTGAGGAACCTGTTTGTGAGTCAAGACTGGAATAATTCGAAGTTGTCAAGTACAGCCGTGGGGCAAAGGGTATATGAGACTATTCTTGCTACTAAGTTTTGGGCTGGGGTGAAGGATACTTTGAGAGCATGTCATCCACTTCTTGTTGTTCTAAGGATAGTCGATGGGGATAAGCAGCCCGCTATGCCTGAGCTTGCCATGGCTATGAGCGATGCTAAGAACAAAATAAATGAGTCGTTTGTGTGTAAGTCCAGATTGCTGAGAAAGCTGATGAAGATTATTGAGGATTGATGGGCAGATCAAATGGAAGTAAAGTTGTATGGGGCTGCTTTATTTCTCAACCCTTCCAAGTATTTTGACTTGAAAAGGACTGATGTTGCATATGCTTATGAGCAACGAGAGTTGTTTAATGATGTGCTTTACAAGATGGTTGTTGATGAAGAACTGGAGGGCAAGATTAGCAAACAAGTGGATGATTATGATTTCTTGCGAGGAGGATTTGCAAAGTCATTGCCCATCAAACATCAAAAAACAAAGGCGCCTCGTAAGTCATACCTAGTTACTAAAATAATAGTATTTTTTTAATTTTTTATGGCTTTTTTTTCAAAAAACAAGTGGCTTATAAATATTATTACTTAGTAGTTGATTGGTGGAATGCTTTTGGTGTCAATGCTTTGGAGCTACAAGCACTTGCTTTACACATAATAGGCCTTTGTTGTTGTTCTTCGGGTTGCGAACGCAATTGGAGTACGTTTGAATTTGTAAGTTACGCCATCCTTTTCAAGTTTATAGGTTTTTAACTACTAACTTCAAATGATAATAAGTTTTATTTATTTATGTATTTATTTATTTAGATCCACACCAAGAAAAGAAATAGGTTGAAACACAAGAGACCGAATGATTTGGTGTTCATTCAGTACAATAGGAAGATTGTCAACAGGTTCCAAAAGAGGCGTGAAGAAGGAAGTAATTTCAACCCTTTGGTTTTAGAAGAGTTTTCTTGGGATAATGAATGGGTTGATGATTCTGGTAGTCAAGTAGTTCACCATGGGGATGATCTTTTATGGGACCAAGTTGATGAAGCTCTTGGTGCTTCAAGAAATCTAGATCGCTGTAATCCTATGAGAGGTGATGTTGGTGGACCTTCAAGTTCAGTTAGGGTTTATTCTCAACGTCGTAATGATGATACAAATGTTGAAGAGAATGGTGAAGAGAGTGAACCATTTCCTTGAAAAGAGTGAACCATTTCCAAATGATGATTTAGATGTCGATGATGAGGATCAAGATGCCATGGATGCCATTCCTAACAACCAAGCTGACTCTAGATTTGACAATTTCCTTGATGATGTTTAAGTATTTAATTTTTATGTTGGATTATGTTATTTCTATTTTCTAGCTTTTGGATTAAGGATAACGTTTGTGATTGTTTTGATGACCTTTAGGCTTATGGTTATGATATTATGGATTATGTTATTTCTATTATTACATGTTTTATTACTTGATTTACTTCATTAGTAGTGTTGACTATAAGTGTTACATATAGGCCTTTAGTATGTAAAACATATTATGAATTTATTAGTGTATATGTCGACTTATCACGCGACTCCGCCACGATGGGTGCCATATCGCCATGGCGGTGTGGCAGTCCAAAGGTGCCGCGCCGCAAAACCCCGCCGTAACAACTATGTAACATACCACCGCAAGATGCCGGCTTGTTCAAACATATCAATCCTGAAACATATGCTTTTACAAAATTTAGACAGATTGACGGATTGAGTTGCTCTGTTGAACGTAATAGACACTCATACCATATTAACATTTGGGTTTCATTTTAACATATCAACCTGATAGGAAGAGCTCCTCATTCCATGTGAGTTTATATGTATGTACTTGGCTAGTGTGAGATAGCTTAAAAATAAACAACAACATCCAAGCCTTAGTCCCAAAAGATATTGGGGTCGGCTAACATGAATCGATACATGATATCACAACCAAAAGGAAAAGAAGGAATAAAGATAAAAAGATGAGCTATTATGAAAAGATCATATAAAAAAGATGAATATATATAGAAATGATAAAATAAAATGGCTGCAAATAATGCATATATATATATAAGGATAAAAAAACTAGGAAAAAAAGATGAGGGAAAAAGATTATCAAGATCACTCCTTCACGTGAATACCCGCCCTCCACTTAGTTCTCTCCAAAGTCATGCCCTCATCCAACCCCAGAAGAAGCATATCACTTCGAACTCCCCTAACCCACGTCTGTTTGGGTCTTCCTCTCCCTCTCTTCCCTGCCTCTTCTCCACACATCTCAACTCGCCTAACAGGTGCATCACTCGGTCTTCTAGCTTAAAAATAAACAATGTACAAAAATTGGTTTAACCTTAAAGTTGTAATATTAGATCGATTTTTTGTATTTTATCAACATGGGATGCTTAACAGCACAACTACACCTAGTTTGCCCAAAGCATCTAATCGGGCACCTACCCACCTAAACTCGCCTTATCAGCTGCCAAACACACTTTTAGAATAATAACCATTGATAGTTAGTCTCCAAAAAGTCAAATATAAGAGGAAATACCATACTAATGGTGAGGCATCCAACTCTTGTTTAGATCGGGAAATTAACTCCGCAAGATGTGATAGAGGAACACAAACATCCTGCAGTCGGGAAAACGGCAGCATATAAACATATTTCTGACTTGTTGATAATGATTGACACTCCCTCGGTTCATACATATTAAGATTTATAAAACGGTAAAACCAGATAAAATGTGTATGTTACCCCTCCATTTGGTAACCCCATTTTTTGACTTGTCAACCTTCAGATTTTCTACCGATTGCTTATATATTTGGTTGCATGAGTTGAAATGGCTGATAAAAGGAGAAGTGCATAAGTTATTTCATTTTGACTTAAATTGCTTAAATGAAGATAATTCACACTTGGGCTCTTATTTACTATATTGTTTCATTTACTTGTTCTATTAAATATATAGATCATGCAGCCTAATTATTCCATGAAGCCATTTGAACAAAATACCAACAACTTAATCTCATTATGTTATTTTACCCAAAAACCAAACAGGCTCATGTTTATTTAGTAGATACTATATAAATTGTCCTTCAAATGTAGTGACTGTTAAATGGGCCAAATCATTTTCTTACATGACACCGCAAAAAACTCTTGCACGTCATGACAACTCCAACACACCATCTATGGTGTATTATTTTTGTCCTTTTCACCAAAATTCATGATTGTGAACTATTACTTTTTCTGAGATGGCATGTGACAGTTCTCATAAAGAATCATAGTCCGAAATGTATAATTATGTAGCCACTAGCCACTGGTGAAACAGCCCGCATTTCCTTTTCGTTTAATTGACATCTTATGTGGAAGTTTAGTTTGCTTGATGTATATGATGTGGTGTTGGTTACATGCATATTACGGTAATTCATGGTGTCAGGTAATTTACCTGTATAGGCAACACAATTGCAAGTAATCAAAGAGTCAAAGTATTACAGGCAATTCCATATAGATGGCAAAAAAACAGATAGGAAACAAACCGTTATCATTGCTGTGAACTCAGGCTCCATGGCAAAGCAAGCCCATAGTGCCTCCTTCCTTATCTAAAAGCAAAAGATTGATATAAAACTACCAAAACTGGGGCTGGGATGGGGTGCGGTGGGGTGAAATTCTTCTAAAATTTGTCAACAAACAACTCAAAATTGAAGTAAATAGAGTAAATATTGTGGAAACTCGAGAGTGGGGATGGAAGTACATTTCCCGCTAAAACAAAAACATAAATGAAAAAGAGATCCCTTATTGTGTAACCTTCCAAAGTTCCTTTTTCTCTTCGGGAGCTTCTGCAAAGACAAAATCGGTGCCCTTATGCTCAGCAGCTATCTTCTGAACAATTTTGGCTTGTTCGCGTGCATATGCTTCTGGTAGATAATGCCATAAACTAATTAGATTGGAAAGAAAAATATGTGCACTGTTATATAAGTTGACTATGCCCCTTCTACCAAGCGTATATTTTTTATAATTTATGTGTTGAGGTTCCATTTTAGAAGATCTAACCTCATATAAGAGAACATGCTTGATTTATATTTTTATATTTTTCTGATTCAGGGTGGCATTACACGTTCCTCTTAGAGTATTCATTTGGAAATGACCTTACAACATATAAAAAAAAAAAAAATTACAAATATAAATGGAGAATATTTCACCTGTGCCTATAAATTCAAACATTAGAGTTGGACTTTCTGGCAATTTTTTCCCGTTCGCAACATTAATTGCTCGCACTTGAACTTCATCCATCAGTTCCACTCTTGACACCTTTAACCAATAAATTAAATAATCAAAAAAGGGAATATGAGAATAAGTGACATTTCTCAAAGCATTGCCCTGGAAGTTAGTTTTTTCTTTTTCTTTTAAAGGGAAATCACTGTTTAGAACCATCAATCTGTGAAAAGTGTAGTTAAGAGTAATCTGACCTGTATTCCAGAGAACATCGTGGCGATAGCAACATCTGCTGCATCTTTTATTGTAGGGAAGTTGCACATTGCAACCTATGACAGTTCATGTGTAATCCAATATGTATATATCAGGTGAAATATGGTTTATATATAACATTTAAAGGAATTTTAATGTATTAGTAAGAACGAAACATTGCTTTACTGGGACAACAAATTTAGAGATGATCATATGCTGAGAACTCATACAACAACATCGAAGCCTTATTCCCATAAATTATGCTGAATTGCTGAGAACTCATAAAAGAAAATACTCATATCTTTAAGATTATACAGATTGGACTTCAGACAAAAAATTAAGTGCTCCTCCCGAGGATATACGACTCCAACTTGGTTTCATATTCCAATAATACCCTCAGCAAAATTCTTCAACATGCACTACTAGCTGCATTTCTGAAATAACAGGCCATATATTATAAAAGTTACCACTTACTTCCTCTGTCCCCCCAAAAAGTCTTGTGCCAAGAATTTCTTATTACTCGAAAAATATCTGGTTTGAAATGTCAACTTTACCTTTTAAAGTAAAATTCCTGTAGAGCCATGGGTAGGTAGTTTTAGTGCATCAGTCCAAACAATCTTAAAAATTAGCTTCAGGTGTTTATAAGTGGATTCATAATTTGTGAAAGCATGTAACTTGATTGAGCTAACTTAAAAAAATGTATGTTACTCAAACGTACTCTATTATTGGGACGGGGAATATTATATTACAAGACACAATCAGTGACACATCAGCTCAATTGCCATATCAGCATATATCTGATTAGTTGTAACTTGATTGAGCTAACTTAAAAAAATGTATGTTACTCAAACGTACTCTATTATTGGGACCGGGAATATTATATTACAAGACACAAGCAGACACATCAGATCAATTGCCATATCAGCATATATCTGATTAGTTGTTAGAGCTGTTAGTTGGTTATTGAAGTTTGAATAATCAGTTTGTTATGTAGTGTCTATAGCTATATAAGCAAAATGTATGTAATACAATTCCCTTCATCTAAATCATTTTATGGTATCAGAGCGTGAGAATACGACCAGTCGACCACCACGTTCAAATTAGATAAAGATAAAAGTGCAATAATTCATTTTAATTTGTTTCATTATTATTATATAATATTAATGAAAAAAAATCAGACTTATTTAGAATAATGCTTAGTGGTTGGAATAAGAGTAAAATGAGGAAATAAGTCTGAGAACATTTTTTAATATTAAGGAACATTTTTATTTTCAAAAGGTTCTCATAAGGTTCTTTTCTCAACCAGTAAAGTAATCCCAAGAGGCATTTTTAATAGAATTTGAAAAAAAGCCTCAATAGTCTCTTTATTAGTCTTACCATTCTAAATTAAACAAAATGATTCGCAAATAAAAGTGCTAATGCAACAACCAATCCATAAATTGTTAAAGCTTCCATAAAAGCTAGACTAAGCAATAGAGTGCCCCGGATTATTCCCTCCACCTCAGGCTGTCTCGTGATCCCCTCAAAAGAAGTTCTGATGTATTTGATTGTATTCCTATGCAGCAGCTATTTTCACCGCTACTGGTGGTGCTACGGTGCTACCAGCGGCGCTAGTACATCTTCTATAACAGTGGAGTTCTCATATACCTGTTTTCTTCATACAAATGAAAATCCAAGTCAGGTTCTTACCCTTCATACGGTGAATGACCACATCATGAGCATTAAATTGATAATAGGAGATGAGCTCATGTCCGTGGTACGTGCTTATGCACCACAAGTGGGATTGGATGCATCCATTTCTCAACAATTTTGGGAAAATTTTGAGGAAGTGGTGTGACGAGTGTCAAAGGGAGAGAAGTTGATGGTGGACAATTTTGGGAAAATCTGAATGGCCATGTGGGCCCAAGTCGTGATGGTTTTAAGAGTATCCATGACGGACATGGTTTTGGCACTAGAAATGAAGCGGGATAGAACATTCTGAATTTTGTCTTGACATATGAGTTTGCTGTAATGAACACTTGATTCAAAAAAAGAGACTCACCTTGTGAGGTATTTGCAGACTTGCTCGCCTTCGTGACCGTATGACTCAAGATATCAGAAAAGTTAAGTGTGTGAAGGATGTCGAACAAAGGGTACTAATGGAGGACAAGGAAATAAAAGAGAGGTGGAGGTCATACTTTGATACCTTGTTCAACGGGAATAAAGTGCAAAGTATTGATGATCTTACAATACCAGATTGTATGGTAAACCGGACTTTGTGAGAAGGATCCAAACGACGGAAGTTAAGAGGCCCTGAGAAAGATGGGGCGGAAGAAAGCAGTGGGTCCAAATGGCATACTGATTGAGGCATGTAGAAGTTTGGGAGAGAATGCATTGAGTGACTAACACGTTTCTTCAACATGATATGGAGAAACAATAAGATGTCAATGAGTTGGCGGAAGAGTACTCTCATCCCCCTATTTAAAAATAAGGGTGATGTGAAAGAATGTACCAACTATCGAGGGATTAAGCTTATGAGTCGCACCATGAAACTGGAGGAGCGAGTGATTGAGTAAAGACTCCAAAAAGGTGTGGAAATTTCGGAGAATCAGTTTGATTTTATGTCTGAACGCTCAACAACTAAGGTCATTCACCTTGTTAGATAAGTTGTGAAAAAGTATAGAGACACTAAAAAGGATCTGCATTTGGCGTTCATTGACTTAGAAAAGGCATATGATAGAGTACCTCGAGAAGTTCTTTGGTGGGCCTTAACTAGAAAAGCTATATCACGTAAGTATATCAGTATCATCATGGATATGTATGAGGCTTATACTACAAGTGTATGTACTAATGTAGGGAGGACAATAGAGTTCCCTATTACTATCGGAGTGCACCAAGGATCGGCTTTGAGTCCTTTCCTATTTCTTATAATCATGGATGAACTTACGAAATCAATTCAAAAAGATATACCGTGGTGCATGATGTTCACCCACGATATTGTATTGATTGATGAGACGCAATCGGGTGTTAAAGCAAAGTTGAAAGTATGGCAACAAACATTGGAGACCAAGGGTTTCAGGCTAAGCCGAAGCAAGACCGAGTATATGGAGTGCAAGTTTGGTGGAGGTAGAAGCAGTAGTAACAGTCAGATTATCCTTGATGGCAAGGTGATACCGGTGTGTGATATGTCCCGTTACTTGGGTTCCATAATTCAAAAGGATGGTGAATTAGATGGAGATGTATCACATAGAATCAAAGCAAGGTGGATGAAATGGAAGAGTGCGTCAGGATTACTATGTGACTGAGGTATGCCGACGAGACTGAAAGGTTAAAATTATCGAACAACAATTAGGCCTGCATTAATGTATGACGTGGAATGTTGGGCGGTAAAACAATGTCACATTCAAAACATGAGTGTGGCAGAGATGTGTATGTTGTGTTGGATGTGTGGACATACCAGAAAAGACCACTTGAGAAATGAGATCATCAGACAAAAGGTGGGAGTAGCACCTATAGAAGATAATATGCAGGAGTCTCGATTGAGTTGGTTTGGTCATGTGCGCAAAAGATTGAGTGATGCACCTATTAGACGAATTGAGAGATGGGGAGAAAAGGCGGGGAGGAGTAGAGGAAGACCCAAATAGACTTGGACTAGAAGAATCAGAACTGATATGCTTCTTCTTGGATTGGAGGAGAGCATGACTTTGGAGAGAGCAAAGTGGAGAGCGCATATTCGTGTGGATGAGTGATATCTCTCTCCCCCTCATTTTCTTTTACCTCTTTTCTTTTATCTTTTATCTTCTTTGTCTTTCTATGTTCTTATGTTATTTCTCTTTTTGTTATGCTCTTTTATCTTTGTATCGTTTAGCTTTCGTATGTTCTTGTGTTATTTTCTACTCTAAATTTATCTTTATCTTATCCATTTTATCTTATTTTATCTTTTCATTCTTCTTATCTTTCTTCTCTTTTGGCTGTGATATCATGGATCAATTCATGTTAGCCAACCCCAAATTCTTTTGGGATTAAGGCTTGGATGTTGTTGTAGTTGTAACAAAAGGATGGTCTCTTCATCAAATGGACATCAACGGTGCTTTTTTATATGGGGATTTACATTATGAAGTATACATGGTTCTTCCTCCTGGTTTTGAGTCTCCACGTCAAATACAGTTCGCAAACTCACAAAGTCACTCTACAGGCTTAAGCATTGTTCTAAAAATCGGCCTAGTCAGACCGATTAATCGGTCTAGTCGGCCCTAACTGAGGAACACTAATCGGCCTAATCGGCCAAAAAATCGGCCTAGTTGGCCAAAAAATCGGCTTAGTCGGCGGCCTAACCGCCCGACTAGCGCCTAGCGAGTTTTAGAACAATGGGCTTAAGCAAGCAAGTAGGCAGTGCAATGCCAAGCTTACTACAGCTCATATAAGTCAAGGCTTCAAACAAGCTCCATCTGATCCCTCTTTATTTGTCAAAAAAAAGGTGGAACGTTTTTAGTCTCAATGGTATATATTGATGACAACATCGCTGTCGATTCTCATATTACAGCTATCAGAGAAGTCAAACATTTTGTACAAACTACTTTCCAAATAAAGGACTTAGGTGAGTTAAAGCTCTTCATTGGCTTAAAACTTTCCAGATCCAAGATTGGATTGAATGGAAATATGCTCTAGAATTATAGAAGATACTGGTTTTGGGGAGCAAAGCTTGCAGCAAGTTCTATTGTACCAGGGGCTAAACTTACACATAATGATAGTCCTCTCTTAGCTCAACTAGATGATTATGATAAACTGGTTAGTAAATTGCTCTATCTTACGGCTACAAGGCCCTCTTTTTCCATCCAGCAACTCAAACAATATATTGATTATCCTATAGAATTACATATTCAGGCAGCTCATAGGGTACACACTACTTTCCAAATAAAGGATTTAGGTGAGTTAAAGTTCTTCATTGGTTTAAAACTTTCCAGATCCAAGATTGGATTGCATATTTGTCAGAGGAAATATGCTCTAGAATTATAGAAGATACTGGTTTTGGGGTGCAAAGCTTGCAGCAAGTTCTATTGTACCAGGGGCTAAACTTGCACATAATGATAGTCCTCTC